TGCCTGTGCCTTCTACTGAATTAAATTATTTTAAATATTTTATTCTTATTTTATGTGTATGAGTGTATTGCCTGCATGTGTCTAAGTGCACCTGTGTCACGCAATGCCCACAGAGGCCAGAAGAGGGCACCAGATCCCCTTGGAACTGGAGTTAAGGATAGTTAACTACCATATACATGCTGGGAATTGAACCTGGGTCCTCTGTAAGAACAGCTGGTACTCTTAACCACTAAGCCATCTCTCCAGCCCCCTGAATTAAATTCTAGATAAAATAATCTGGGCTGGAGAGATGGCTCAGCAGTTAAAAGCACTGGCTGCTCTGTTTGATTTCCAGCACCTACATGATGGCTAACCACCATCTGTAACTCCAGTTCCGGGAGATCCGATGCCCTCTTCTGACCTCCGAGGATATTACACGACATGGAGCACTTACACACATACAGGCCATACACTCATATGCATAAAAAAAAAATAAATAAATAAATCTTACTTATTAGTTTTGGTCTAATTGTAGATTTTCCATTTAATTTTTAATAATTGTGTTTTAATTTTCAGGTTTTCCTTTCTTTCTTTTTTCTTGGTCTTTTTGAGACAGGGTTTACTGTAGCCCCAGCTGGCCTGGAACTCACAAGAGATCCACTTGCATCTGCCTCCAAGTGCTGGGATCAAAGGAGTGCGCCACCACGCCCAGCTGATTTTTCCTTTCTTAAACAGGAAAAGTACCTTCTTCCATTCCATAGATGTAGTATGTTCACTGAGTGTATGAAATACACTAAAGAGAGAAATCTCCCTAACTCCTCCATATTCTTGTAGGCCTAGTTTTCTGTTTACTTTGATCCTTCTGTCTCTTGCAGTGCAGGCTTTCCTTACAATTAATAATCAGTAAGCATCAAGGGTAACTAGAAATATCACACCTTGGGATTCACTTAAGGGCTTTCCTACAAGAAACCAGCCTTGATCTAAATCAAGAAGCTCAGAAAGGCTGAACTGAAAGGCACTTTACCCTACAGTTAGGGTTTGAAAGTGATACGTCACCCACAGGCTCGTGTGTTTGAACACTGTTTCCTTGGTAGCAATGCTGCTCTGGGAAGCTGTGGAATCTTTTAAGATTGGGGTCTACCTAGCTGACACAGGCTTGCATGGTTGGGCCTTAAAGGATATCTCTCTAGCTCTGTTTCCTGATTCATCAGTATGAGAATAAACCACACTACAAGCTCCCATTGTCATAGGTGTTCCCTGCATGATGGACCATATCATGAACAACAAGCTAAAGGAAACCTTTCTCCCTTATGCTGTTTCTGCTACTCTGTCAGTGAATAGAAAATTTATACACCTACAATATTCAACTCATTCCAACCTCTCTATGCTTATGTTTGCTTAATGACACTTAACAAGAACTGTCTGATTTGGAACCTGGCTGTGTCTCTATCTGTAATGACCCAACTGAGGAGCTAAACTGTTTCACATCTTTAGTTACAGCCTTGTTTCACTTCAGTCCTTCCATTCTGTCGGGATTTCTTGGGGTTATTCCGGAGCAGCTCTGCCAACCCCATCTCTGTGCTCTGCCTTAGCATTCTTTGTTCCTTTTAGTCATTTCGTATTTTTCCAACTGCCTCATGGGCTTTTAGAGGTTAATGAAAATTACGTACTGGAGCCAGGTGTAAAATATTCAACATCATGTAGACTGGCTGCTACCAGCAGCAACTTGAACCCAGCAGCTTCAAAAGTGCTTATCACTACGGAAAGTAACAACATTACACATCTAAGCTTTAAAGATTCCCACCCTGGACTTTAGAGATGGCTCACTGGACAAAAGCACATGCTGCTCAAGCAGGAGGATCTGTTTGATGCCCAGAACTGACATAAACAGCCAGGTGTGGCCATGCGTGCAGATTACTTCAGCCTTCTAGGAAGCGACAGGTGGATCCCAGAGCCTGCTCAACTGTGGACTTCAAGCTTGTTGAGAGACCCTGTGTTGTGGTTTGAATAAAATGCCCCTATAGGCTCAGGCATGCGGTCCCTAACTGCTGGTGCTGTTTAAAGAGGTCATGGAACCTCTAGGGGGTGGAGCCCTGCTGAGGAAGTGTACCGCTGGGGCAGGCTTTAGGAGTTCATAGCCTTGCCCCACTTCTGGGTTGCTCTCTGCTTCATGTTTGTGGTTGAAGATGAGTGCTCTCAGCTTCCTGCTTCCATACCTCCCTAGCCATTAAGAACTCTCCCTATGGAATGGGAAATCAGAATAAATTTTCTTCCATAAGGCACTACTTTATCACAGCAACAGAAAAGTAACTAATACACACTGTCTCAATGAATATGGCAGACAGGGTAGAGCAGGACTCCCAATGTCTCCTTCTGGCCACTGCAGGCTCCAAGCACAGGTGTAGGCGCCACCCCCATATACAAAGAAAAAGGTCGTCCACCCCTCCTGAAAGCAAGTTTGTTGGTACAACATGAGGACTTGTGTGCTTACGTTCCTTTTCTTTTGTTCTTGTGGATTTGTATAATTTTTATTCATTTACTATGAATTTAATGGGATTACAAAAAAGGAGATAGCTTTATCTAAATCAGAATATTCTTCTAAACCAGAAACCTGATTTTTTTTTTCTCTATTTTGGGCTAATTAGGGCTACATGACAGTCACGCTACACCACACACCAATGCACAACACGTCTGTGGTACATGCACAAGACTTCTAACCTGCATATCCAACTCATGGCATCTTTGAGCAATTTCTTCTTTTGCTGACAAAGCTTCATTGAGCTCCTCTGTAGTTTTCTTCAGCTAGTTAAGAAACAAAGAGGCAGGAGAAATATTTCAATATGAAACAGAGACAATAATTACATACATGCAATACAGGATTTTACTTCCTGGGAAGTTCTACCTGGTTATGATCTATGAAGACACTTTTTTTTGTCTTTTTGAGACAGGGTCTCCCTGTAGCGCAAGCTGACCTGAACTCACTATGTAGACCAGGCTGGCCTTGAACTCACAAGGATCCACCTGCCTCTGCTTCCCAAGTGCTGGGATTAAAGGCGTGTGCCACCACGCCCGGCTATTATTCAATTTTTAAAGTTATCCAAAACTTCAAATATCTCTTTGGACTTGCAGACATAACTGATTCTAGCTTTTTCTGCTCTAACAACATCCTCCTATTGGTCTTTGCTAACTCCTCTTTTAAATGAGTATTCCCTAATGTTCTGTTCTTGACTCTTTGTCTCATTTTATACTGTTTTCTGAAACTGAAACAAACTCATTTTAGCAATTTCATCCACCACTATCTATTTGCTTACTGATTTTCCAGATCTTTATTTTCCAGTCCAGATTTACTTCATGTTCCGGACCTTCATTTGTGTATCTTTCTGTCAGGTGAGCCACCTCAAACACAACATGTCCAACATCTAATGACCGTCCTTCTCCAAACCACCTTCCAGTCTGCTTCTCCACTCTACTGTCTATCTTGCTGAGTGGCCTCACACTTCCTTTTCAAAATATTTCTTTTTATTATTTTCATTTACATGCATGTGGTTCAAGGCCAGCTGGGGCTACAGGGAGACCCTGTTTCAAAAAGACCAAAACAAAACAACAAAAAAGATTTCTGTTCATGCAGAATAGTGTGAGTTAGAAAGTAACTGTAACTAATAGTATTTGCTACTTAGAATTAAAATTTGTTTTTCTATTAAAATAACAAAAATACACTGCAAAGCACTTTTTAAAATATAGTTGTTTCCAACTGGACGTAGGGGTGTATGCCTTTAATCCCAGCTCTGGGGAGGAAGAAGCAGGCAGGTCTCAGGCTAGTCTGGTCTATATAGCACATTCCAGGCCAGCTGGGGCTACAATAGTGAGATTTTGTGTCAAAAAGAAAAAAAAAGAAAAAGAAAAAAAAAAGCCAACCAAACAAAACCAGCTGTTCCTCTAGAACATTTAATTTCTACTGATAGTCATTACTTTACAAAGATGAAGATACAGGCAACATTTTCAATTGAATAATGAAGTGAAATAAAAGGCAAAATATTGTTGCATTATAAATAAATCCATGAATAAGCACATGCCAACACCATACCTATTTTGTTAACTAGCAAACCACTTATAGAAGGTAAAAACAAAAATTACGACTAGAAAATAAGAATTATGCAAGTTAAAGGAATTTATTTTAAAGCAGGCTATGCAATATTACTTTTAAAAATTTTACTATGATTATTGATTTCTACGCATTCATGCCACAGTATGCATACAGAAGTCAGAGAACAGCTACGTTCTCCTTTACCACGTGCAGCCAGGGGATTGAACTCAGGGTGTCAGGTTGGGCAGCAACGTCCTTACCTGCTAAACCATCTCACCAGCCCATGCTATACTACTTCGATTACAAATTCCAAACTTAATTATAGATGTGTAATATTGATGAGCAAAATAGCTGTATAACAACATATTTAAAGACAATTTCAATTACATTCTTCTAATACCTGAAATTAATTTCGAGTTTACATGAATGAAGACAATTATATACCTGGCGATCAAGATCAACATAGGCATCATTTCCAGCAGAGACAGGAGACTCTTTACTCATTAGCTGAAATTAAGATTTAAATGATTTTAACTATGAGACAAAAAGACACTCTACTTAACATTCTTGCAACAAAATGAACATCATAATCCACTAAAATAAAAAAATTAAAACACAAAAGTAAACAACTGTTTTTTGTAATTAATTCTTCTGTTTTTCACTCTAGGATAATATCTACATTTAAACATAAATGTCAAAAATCTGATTTTCATTTTCACTGAAAGCCCCAGCTCTAAGAATCAAGTACAACTTACTCTTATCACTAAAAAGAGAAATAGGTAAGAATGTGGCTAGATATTTTTAAACTTTTTTTTTTTTGGTGTCTTTTTGAGACACAGTCTCCCTGTAGCCCAGGCTGTCCTGGAACTCACTATGTAGACCAGGCTGGCCTTGAACTCACAGAGATCTGCCTGCCTCTGCCTCCCAAGTGCTGGGACTATAGGCGTGTGCCACCACGCCTGGCTTTAACCTGGATTTTATAACGCATCAGTGACTTTAAATGTCTCAACTTCATTTTTATCTCAATTCTTGCCAGCAAAAATCTCAATTCAAGATCAACTCAACTATTTCTCTTCTGCTCATATAGCCTGACTAGCTAAGTTCTGAGAGAGAGGAAAAGCCAACAGCGGTATTACTGTGCATAAAACAGCTATTGTCTACTCTCCACCAGAATCCAGGACTGCTCAGAAGTACATCCCAACCTGGTTACCCAGCCAGACACTTTATCCTCCTCAGAGATTCTTTAATCCCTTCTTAGTTCTCAGATATGACCAACAAATGGAGAAATGGCTCAGTGGTTAAGAGTACTGCCTGTTCTTGCACAGGGACCGGGGTCTGTTTCCCAGCACCCATGTGGCAGCTAGCAACCATCTGGAACCCCAGTTCCAGGGGACCTGAAGCCCTCTTCTGACCTCCATGGGCACTGCATGACACGGGTGCACTTACATACATGCAGGCAATATATTCATTCACATTAAAAAAATAATAATATTAGAAAAAAGATTTCTTGAATAGACATTTCTTGGACCTGGAATGTAGCTCACTGAGAGGCCCTGGGTTTGAACCTCAGTACCAAATGCATGCATACACACATAACACACACAGATTAAAAAAAATAAAAATAAAAAAATCACTAAACTCGAAGTGACACTTCTCCAAAAGTGATTACAGAAATTACTAACAAAGACATGAAAAGATGCTCGTGATCACTAGTCACTAAGGAAATATAAATTAAAAACAACAACAACAACAAAAATACAAAAAATATTGAGGTTTCACTTCATACTCTCCAGGTAATCTAGAATTCCATTTCTGGATACTGATGTTCCTCAGTTTACAATGGGGTCATGTTCCAAACATCAAGTTTCTTTCTTTCTTTTTTTTATTTAAATATTTTATTTATTATTTTTATTTTATGAGTATGCGTGTATTGCCTGCATGTAGGTAAATGCACCTGTGTTGTGCAATGCCCATGGAGAACAGAAGAGGCTGTCAGATCCCCTGGAACTGGAGCTACGGACAGTTGTCAGCTGCCATGTGGGGTGCTGGGATTCGAATCCAGGTCTTCTGAAAGAACAGTTAATGTTCTTAGCTGCTGAGCCATCCCTCCAGCCCCTCAAACATCAAGTTTCCTAAGTCAAAAATGGATTGAATATACCTAACCTAGATTAGCAATATGGTGAACTGTAGAATACTGATTTTAGCAATCAGTATGTTCATGTAGTTGGCTGCAACCCTATGTTCACGTAGTTGGCTGGAAACTACAGTTCACTGTCGCTGGCCAGCATTATGAGAGACTATCAGGTCTTATCTCTAGCCCAGGAAAAGGTAAGAATTCAAAATCTGACAGAGAGTTTCTATACAATGTTCACTAGTTTTTCCTAGAGCAAGCATGTTCTCCACCATAATGCCTGTCACAGGCATTGTTTTATCAGTGCCTACAAAATGCTATACAGGCCTTCTCTCTCTAGTCTCACTGAGTCCTTCTCTTGCCTTTACTTCCTGAGTGCTGGCATTACAGACATGTACCCCATGCCCAGAAGGTCTTGCGTTCTTTTTGCCTCTTGGACTTCATGACACTTTTTACATCTCCCTTTATCTCTCTTTCCTTGTCTCCTCTCACCTTATCCTTCAGGGGTCAGTATTATTCCTCAGAGCAGCCTTGGCTAATGTTCCCATGAAAGATGCTCCCTTTAGATGCTCCTGCATTTCCCCCTTCATGGCACTATTTAAACTATATGAATTTTTGTTTAACCATTTTCTCTAGGAGACTTTCTCATATACTTTGAGATAGAAGTCTCATATCTTTTCAGAACTATATTCCTGGTATTTACTACAGCTCTTGGCACACTGGGTTTGAATTAAGTATTTGACAAATGAATTAAAATGAATATGCACATAACAGACATAATGTACTTAAAAATTTAATTAGGATTCTATTGTACAAGCACTATAAAATAGAATCACTTTTAAACTTTCCTGTTTATGTGTTTAAACTAGTGTTTTCTCCTTTCGTTTGTCACAAACTGTAAGCACAAAACTAACCAACGTACCCTCTTGAATGGCTGTCATGACAACATGCTGAACAGATTCTTCCATCATCATAATGGCTTGAATGTACTCTGAAAACAAGAATAACCTGGAATGTCACTGTTCAAGAGGATGAATTTATTTTATAAGTTCTCACATGCAGTTTTCTGTGTTTTGATTCTTCCCAAGAACCATTCACAATTAATACGCCCATATATATACCACAGGTAAGCAAAGGCTGAAAACTACAATACTCATTTTTTTCTCAAAGATATATTTTTGTTTCACATTTATTGCCCGAGACTGCGTCTTGCTAGCTGGCTCAATTCACTTTGTATCCTAGGTTGGTCTTGAACTTGTGATCTTCCTGCCTAATGGGCATACAACACCACACTTGGCTCCTTTCACTATTTCCTATAAAACTGAGACTGTAGGTTAAGGTCAGAAGGCTCCAGCATCAGCCTGAGTGCACATCAAAGTAGATCAATGAAATGGTGAAACCTAAAGTCAGAGTAGAAAAGAACCAAATCACTCTCTTTAAAACCTAGAAATTATCTTTAACTTTATTCTCATTGTATAAAACATTCTTGTGATAAAGCACTGTATTGTGTAAATTCTTACCTTATTATTTTTTTACAAGCAATATAAAATAAAATAAATTAAATGAATTTTAATAGAACAACTACTAGAGCTACTAAAATGAATTTTAAGACTGAAATTGAATCCATAATTGAACTACTGTATAATTCTGGTGCTAAATAACAACTTACATCTCTAAAATGTAAAGCTGAAGCCACATCAGTCTCATTCCCATCATTGCCCAAACCAGAAAATGTCAGCTGTTAAAAGAGTAAAATCATCTGGGAACAGCAAATCCTCTCCTTCCCTGCTAACAGTTTTCGTAAGTTCTGAATTCACCACAGATGATAAGAGTGGCTTCAGCATCAAAACAAAACAAAGCAAACCACCACCAACAACAAAACTATAGGTCAAGTGCCCTTAAGGTTGTAATACAAAGGGGTCTTACTATAATATTTATAAACATTTTCAGTAAACTCATGCATTTGGAATGTCAAATTGCAATCCTCTGTCCAGCAGGTAACTTGCTTTTACAATACTGTGACATGATGACATCAAACTCAGAATCCAGCTATCTAGGATGACTGACACATCCTCAAAATTAAAGACTATGAGCATGGAGGAGAAAAACAGTGGTGTGGTATGGGGAAGGGAGGCTTGATGGCAACTACTAGAGATGAGGGAAGTAACAGTGGGCGAAGAGGTCAGGACATTAGTAGGCATGAGAGGGGAAGCGTTAGTTAAGAAGCGGTGTTGCCACGTCAAGGCCCTTCCCCGCGAACACCGTAAAGTGCTAAATGATAAAATGGTGATGACAACTACATTAATGTGTACGATTTTTAAAAGAACCTTAAAGTTAAAAATATACTTACGTATGATTATTTGGTACATACCCACGAAGCAATGCCAGAGAATGAGGTACACTATGTAAAGGAGTTTAACCCTCAATCTTATTTGTTCAAAATTTTTAGTATGGTTTAGTGCTAAGAGTATTAAGCTTTAAGGCTAAAGAAACACATGTTTTCATCTATACATAGCCCCTAAACAAGAAAGAAATTTGGAAAATATATATTTCTAAGTCTCACCTTTCTAATCTATAAAAAGTATTTTTTGTTCTGTCAGTGCTTAGTAGAGTATCAGACAGAAGGGAGACAATACAGGCTGGCAAGATGGCTCAGCAGATAAAGGTGCTTGCTACCAAGGCTGATGACCCAAGTTCAATCCTGGGACCCACTTCTATAGTACGTTGTCCTCTGACTTCCACGTGCATGCTGTGGTACATGCCCCCCGCCCAATAAATAAAGGTACACACACACAAACACACACACACACACACACCAGACACTACTTTATTTGCCTCAATTTAGAAGTCAGCCAAGACAAAAGAATACTGAGTCATAGCTCTCACCAAATGCTCTTAACATCCTCTAACTGTAAATAATGGCTAAACACAGAGCCGATCTTGCTTGCATAGTGCTTTAGAGACTACAAAGCAAATGCAGACATCTTTCATCTTCATCGCTAATACATTTTGGAGATGAGGACAATGGCAGAGTGTCTCATCCAGTTAAATAGTAAATTAAAGAGGAACTTCAGTGAGTCTCACATTCGTTCTATCTCCCAATGTCA